TAACTATAGAAAATTTTCGATTAAAATTTATTTATTCATCTCTTGAGAAAACCGATGGCATCATCTCAAAAATTGTTAAATATACAGGGTGAATCACTAAGTATGCACTGTTCGATATCCCATAATATTAGATATAGAAAAAAAGTGAAAATTGGCACACTTAATTGTTTCAAATAGATTACCTTATACAAGGTGATAAAATATGACATATGGGCTCGATGGTACGTCGTTAAGAATGCTTTGAAGAACTCGAAAAAAATGGTAAAAAAAATTCCTGCACCAAACTTTTTAAAATATTGAATGTCAAAGTTGAAGAATTAACTTCGTAACTACGATGAACTGCATTGTGTAATACACAGTTAAACAATTAGTTATTCATAATTTAATAATAATTTGCTAGAATAGGACTCACAACATCATTTTTTACTAATTTTACGTATCAAAATTACTAAATTAATTTTTCAATCTTGAAGTTTATTTTCAAAAATTTGATTCAGAGATGATTTTTTAACCATCTTGACAACCTACCATCAAGGAAATACGTAATTTTTTTATCAGCCGGTATATTTCTATATATTCTGATTAAAATTTTCTTAGGCTTTACAACCATAGTTTATTTTCAAAATTCTGATGAGACGTTGTCAACTTATTCCAATTTTCTTAAATTTTTTAGCAATGGAAGGGTTTAGAAAAAAATTGCAATAGGGTTATTTTTAAAATCAGCATTACAATACTTTGTGGAAAGATAATTAAAACTGCGCGCTTTACTGATGTGATATAAATAAAAATTTGGTTTTAGTATACAGAGTGTTCATCAAAATATAACAATTTTCAAAAGTCGATTTTTCGTTTTTTTCAGATAGAATACCCTGTATTTTATTATTACATCATATTTTGGTTTTCGTTCTTTTTCTTTTTGTTAAACATTTTCCATTGTTAAATCTGATGGTTATTTGGATTTTTTACTTTTTTAAGGAACACATCAATATATTGAAATTATTTTTTCTTTATATATACTATATATACTAGAATTTTATATTATTGATACTACAACAAATCACGGATCTTATCCCTCACATAACGTTATTCTTAAAATTTTTAATTACGTGACAGTTTGAAAATTGCGAAAATTTTTTATAAATACTCTGAATATTAAAATTTTATTTAATTTATATTATAACAAACACAGATCTTAAAATCTGGAATAACGTGCATGGAAATTTTAAAAATAAACTATGATCATTAAGTCTAGGAAGGTATTAATAAGATAATAAGAATATATAAAAATACCGAGTGAGTATTAATGATTGAAGTAAATTTTTGGGTTGACAATTCTGTCAGTTCACAGTTGTCAATTTTAACATGAGCGAAACTAAAAACCAATAAGAAGATGGCAGCTACTGAATTGATGCCGAAAATTTGAATTTGACATCACGTATGCCATCATAAAATTTTTAAAATGTTGTCAACCTGACAAAGAAACAGAAACATTAACATCCACTCGGTATACATAAGTAATTCTATTTAAAAACTAACTTGTATGCTGTACCTCCAAAACAAAACTCTCTGTATAGTCCTGCAACATTTTTTTCGGTTTTAGTGACTCACGCTGTATAGTTTTTTGGAATTGTTAATGCAAGGAGTTTAAAAAATTAACGATTCACTCGATTAATTCGATACTGATTATTTATAATTCAAAATTTATTTCTCTAATTTTCCCACAATTCACGGAAAATCGCGACATTTTATTTTAATAACCAGTAAACGTGATGGTTTTTAGCTAAAAATAAATCTAAGGGTGTTAAATCTGGGCTGCGGGCTGGCCATCGAGTAGGCGCTCTAACCCTGACCCATTTTTCATAATAAATGCCTAATTTTCTAATGATAATTTAAAATTACCCGGAGAATAATAAAAAACACGATCAAAGTCAGTCATGAATTTTTGAAAGTTTATCTTTGATCATTAGATTTTCAACCCAAATTTTCAAAGCTATAGTAATCAAGACAAAACTTCGTCGAGAAATACGCGCTTTATTGTGATATAAATAAAATTTGTTTTTTTATACAGAGTGTACATAAAAGATTTATTGTAACAATTTTCAAATATCGATATTTCAATTTTGTCGGATATAATACCCTGTATTTTATTATTGCATCTTATTTTGGTTTTCGATCTTTTTCTTTTTGTTACAGATTTTCTATTATTAAAACGGATAGTTATTGAGATTTTTTACTTTTTTAAGGGACACATGATATACTGAAAGTTTAATTTTTGTTTATGTACCATCTATATATTAGAATTTTATATAATTGATAATACAACAAATCATGTACTTTTTTGCTTATCCCGTCATAAAATATTGCAGCACAGATCTTGAAAATAACGTTAATGCAATTTTGAATGACGTGACAACGTCGCATCGGAGTTTCAAAAATAACTGTGGTTATAAAACTTAGATGGAGGCTAATAAGAACATGTAGAAATATAAATATGTACACAGTAGTCTACTAAGAAAAACTGAATTTTATGCTATGATTCGAACACAAAACACACTATAGACAGGGATTTCGAGGACCACGTGCTTAGTGACTCACTCTGTATATTTTATGAAATTTATTTTATATAGTGGGGGCATACATTTTATTGGTTAAATTAAAAATGGCTTATCTAAGACATTTTCTGAAAGTTTAGGAAAATAAAATAAAAATACAATTATACTTATTTTCTTTAGTAAATTCGGATTATAAAATAACAAATAAGATTAATTTTGGTAAATGACTGAACAATATTAAGAGTAATCACTGGAATGAAGAGGGGTGGGGGGGGGCTATTGCTTGCTTATAAAAGATTCTGTATGAAAAAGTTTAATTTAGCCCCGCCCACCCATTCGTTCTTTCATTTTTTTCTTCAGAAATAAGAAATAAATATTATAGCAAATGAGCAGTATAACAAAAAAATTACAATTAACGCTTCTCTTTAACAGCCTTCGTTTTATTAGTTCCCATTCTCACATTACAAAATAACATACAATTCACCCCGCCCACCCACCCCGCTTCCATTTCACTGATTCATTTTGTCTACTCTACTACACTAAAGGTACATCTCAACTGAAGATAGACAAAATCGTTAGAATGAGAACAGCATGTATGGGCGGGGCTAGTATCTGCTAAGATAAGATTGATTTTGGTAAATGACGTAACCTCTAAGAAAATAAAGGGAGCGTGGGAGATACTAGTACTTGGTAAGATAAGACAGATTATAGCAAACGACATACCCTCTAAGAAAATAGAGGGCGGGTGGGCGGAGCTAGTAGGTACTTGTTAAACTAGGACTGAACAATATTAAGAGTAGTCTCTGGAACGAAGAAGGGGTGGGTGGGCGGAGCTTATGAAACTAGAAAAAAGCTAAATTTAGCCTCGCCCACCTTCTTTCTCTATTTCACTGGTTCATTTTATATAGTGTAAAATGGAAAATAGAAATTGAAAAATAACAGTATTGTATTCCCAAAATTTTTTGGTTAACGTTTTACCATCTACATGATATTCCTAATATAAATACAAAATTTGACAACAACCAGTTCAGTACTTTCGGAGATTATTTGACTAATAAAAATTTGGGACGGTGGACGGACAGACAGATAGACGGAAACGTTAGACCTATTTGTTCGTACTCTAGGGGTCATGAAAGGTCGAGAAAACATAAAGTAGAAAGTCGGCCGACAGTCTCGATTACAATACTTCCTTCGCTTACGCTCGGGAAGTAAAAATGAAGGTATTAAAAGAAAAATGCACAAAAAATAATAGCAACATAATGGGCTAATAACAAAAATCTATGAAAACTGTTCATCCAGTGTCAACTTGAAGACGATTTTTTGTTGTTTGACATTTTGTTCGCATTTTCTCAGTGTAAACGAATTACTTTTTTTATTAAATTTCCAAAAAAAAAACACAGGAAAACTGTATCTAAAGACACTAACTCTTACCATTTTTAAAGTAAAAACATCCAAGCTATTTCTGAACTATAAATTGCATCTTTGACACAACATACGTTCAAGTGTGTGAAGCCAACTAAAGTCTTTTTTTTTTTTAAAACAATTGTCAATGTGTTGTCATGTTGGTATGAGCCATTAGTTATTTTGATGGTGTTAGGTTGACAACGTAAAATGTCATATGTAAGCCATTTTGACGTGAAAGCGCTTGCGCGACTGAACCGGCAATTTCTTGCAAATTTAAATAAAAAGCAAAATGAGTTCCCGAAAGCAAGGATCTGGACGGCCCCTAACGCAGCGAGAAAAAGAAGCTGTCATTAGATTTTGTAAACAAATGCAAACAGAGAAACCGACCATGCTACAAAAAGAAATTTGTAGTAAAGCTGCATATATTTTTGACGTATTTTTTTAGGATCATTAACGAAACCCCAAACATTCCTCTTAAAATATTTTGTTTAGGTTCACTCGACAGTAGTTTTCAAAATTATCCATGAATTTGATAATGTTGGTTGCGTAAAAATTCCTGAGAAAAAAGGCCGTCATAAAATAAATTACAAGACTAATCCAGCATTTCATTATATAAAAGAGGAGCTGGCAAGACAAATTCATACATACCATGCCAATGGAAAACACTTCACCATTGACGATCTTCTTCAGTATGTTAAAAACGAGTGCGATTACACTGGCAGTAGGTCTAAATTATACAAAATTATTAAATCGATGGGATATAAATGGAAAAAATTCAACAACAGAAAAATTTTAATTGAACAACCGCATATAATTGCAAAGAGAATTAAATTTTTAAAAAAGTATTTACAATATCTACAATCTGATAACTACATATTTGTCTTTTTGGACGAGACATGGATTTATGAAAATGGAAGTCCAGTAAAAACGTGGGTAAACGAATCTGATCCATTAGGCGTTCCTCAAAGATTAAAAGGGGAGGGTAGAAGATTCACTATTCTCCATGCAGGAACTGCAAGGGGTTTTTTAAAAGATTGTGACCTAATGCTAGGTTCAGATACAGAACATAGAGACTATCATAAAAACATGAACGCGAAAATATTTACTGAGTGGATAGAAAAACAGTTACTTCCAGCATTGAATAGTCTTGATAAAACTTGCGTAATAGTCCTTGACAATGCTCCGTACCATTCTGAGCAACTAAGAAAATTACCTGTGGCATCCACAAAAAAACGAGATATGACCCAGTGGCTTCAAGAGAACAATATACCTTATCCACCTGATTCCCTGAAGTCAGATTTATGGGCCATTATTCGCGACAAAAAACAATTCATTGAAAAAACTTATGCAGTTGATGATTTAATTCACAAAAGAGGCCACATTGTTCTTCGTTTACCACCGTACAATTGCCAATACAACCCTATAGAATTAGCTTGGGGATTCATAAAGACGTACTATAGCAAGCACATACCATCAGCTTCTGGTCCCAAACTGGAAAAGACAAGGCAAATGTGGTCAAGAGCACTTGAAAATTTTACCCCTGATATGTGGGCGAATAGCGTTCGTCACTGCGAGGAACTAATTAGAGAAGATTGGAAGAAATTGATGGGAAATCTACCAATTGACGACATTCCTCCAATAATAATTCAGCTTTCCGCAGAATCTGATTCGGAAGATGATTGGGGGTCTGAACATTTTGAATCTGATTCTGAAACTGAATAAACTGTTACGCATTAAATAAATTTCCATTTTCCTGTTAGCTGTATTATGTTCAATTGCATTTTAACGTGTCATTATCGTTTTTAGTATTGTCCTTTGGTATAAAATGTGCTTAGATCTGTGAAACTTTTCTGACACTGACATTGACCGACATAACCACAAACCTTATCTAGAGAGATTTTACGATACAGTTGTTCCAAAACGAAAGGTCTTAGGGTGGTACAGTCTGGTCTTTGAGAGAATTTTGACACTGACAATTGTTTTAAAAAAAGAATAAACTTTATAAACACGTAACTTATTATTCTACAGAAAACTGACATTTTTGAAAAAACTAAATTTTTAATGTAAAAAATAATTCTCTTTTTTTGGAAAAAACACTTAAATAAATTTCGGTGTGAGAAATTAAGTGTTAATGCAACAATCAATTAACGATTGCCGTAATATTTTCTTGCACCTCTGTGACCTCGTACGCATACAAAACATGCAGTTAGCCAAGCCGTAAATAAATTTCGCCGTTTTCATTAATTCAGGAGCCTTCGTTCCGAATATTTTAAATATTCACGAAAAGATTTACACTTCTTCGGTATATTTGTTCCAAATTTCCACTAATTTTGTAAAATAAACGAAACAACACCGATGGAATAAACCGTTTATTTAAAAAAATTAATCCTACAAGCTCGTATACACAGCGTTATCGTGCTTTGGATTTAGCGTGAATAGCTAGCATCCCATTAAACTCCAAAGCTCCCAATTTAATAAAAGCCTTGCCGTCTCTTTTTACCGTAACAGATTTTCCAGTGCAATTTCCACCCACCAACTTCCCAGATATAACGTCACAATAAATCCCTGGTGGAAGACACGTCTGCAGATCCCGTTCAACATCACCCCAATTAGTGAAAACTATAAAACCCTTATTGCCTCTACAAAAAGCTATTTGTTGATCGTCGTTGGACCACCAGTTTTCGATAGAAGTTCCGGCAACAACGTTCCTAAATTCCACCATGTCATAAATTTCCCTCCACCTGTGCTCACAAATCCATCCATTTGTGCACGTGTCGTCGGAATTGAAACCTGGGGAAATTATATTGCCTTTGTTATCAGCCGGAGGACCTGAAATCTTCCCGTTAATTCGTTCATTTTTGGGCCGCTGCAACTAACCCTTGTTAGAGTCCGTGAAAGCATAGCTCGACATTATCCTTGTGGTCCCGTAAGGATGCGCCAGCATGAAAGCGATCGCCATCTTGTACTGCTTGGCACTCTTGTAAGTCAAGCTCTGTCCATTCTGCTCACGTTGTGTGTCATGATTGTCAATGAAGGCAACAGCATCCAGACCATCAAGTAACCCCCACCCAGGGCCCCAATTAACCAACCACTTCAGTTTGTCATTTCCGCGGAATACGTTGCTTAAGGACCTGCCATATTTGAATTCCACTAAAGTCCCAAGGTTTGCATAATCTCTGTCTGAATTCGAAATTAGAAAGCGGATAACGCGATTGGAAATCTTACCCATGTTGGATACCTCTTGATAAATGAAAGGTCGAGCGCTTTCAGGGAAACCGTACTGAGTGTTCAAATTTTTCAGGCGGGAATAAATTTCTTTGAGGTTGGGCGGCCAAATGTGTCTAGCTGCGTCCATTCGGAAGCCTGCCACACCTAGATCTATCAGGTGGTTCATGAATTCGACGATTTTGTCTCGCACGTATTGTTTTCCCTGGAATTAATATGCATAGAATGCTGCGGAATGGTTTGCTGAAATTTAAATATTGTTTCCAGGGGAATAAGGGAGCTTAAATTTTTTTCCGGTCATATAATTTTCATCTGAATTTTAAAATAATACATATATCAAAGACTGAATCCCAAATTTGAAACCAATGATCATGAATTGTAAAATTCATGAATGTTAAATTCCAAAACTGAACACTTCTGGATGCATACAAAATAACCTTTTGATCCAGAATGAAATATACAGGGTGATCCAAAAATGACTACAAACTCAATGCTACATTGTTAAGAAGGCTCTGAAGAACTAAAAAAATGGTTAAGAAAATCCCTGAACCATATTTTTGAAAATTTTAACTTCAAAGTTGAAGAATTAACTTCGCAGTTCTGATATGTTTTAATGAATTGCATGGTTAATAAACAGTTAACTAATGTAAATATTTATTAATCCGCTGTAAAATGTTTATGATTCAAAATCGTAAACGCACTATATCTTTCGTCAAACTTTATATCCTGTTTAAAATGTGAAAAATAGTATACCAGGTGATATATCAACACATCCTTATTTTCAACTTACTGCTTGTAGGTTTCTAGATAAAAATTCCAAATTTTATACTAAAATATTATAATTTCACTAGAAAACAAAACCAATTATTTTAAAATTCTGCGCACGCTTTAAAGTTATTATCATGAACACAAGTTTTTTGTTACAAGAATTTGATGACGTTATTTCAAAATGTCGTTTAATAATTAAAAATAAACTTTGTACAAGAAAACTTTACAGTTGGTCTTAAAATCTGAGAAACCAAATTTTTGGAAATATTGACAAGGTACCAACGTGAATTTTATAATTACAGAGCAAAAATTGATTTACTCATGCCCTCCAGTTAATTACTTCATTGAAAACATTAATAAGTTTTAACAACATAACATAAAGCTGAAATTTTTCAAATGAAATACACATTTTACAATTTTTTGATATCCAATTTTTCGTTTTTTCGTCTTTATTTTTTCAATTTTTCGATTTTTCGCTTTTATAATTTTTTTTTAATAATCTATAAATTCTCAACTTCTAAATTTTTCAGTTTTTTCAAGTTCTTAATTTACAAATTCTCAGTTTCTCAATTTTTCATTTTCCCTTTTTTCTAATATTCATTTCTCCATTTATATCACAATTTTTCAAATTTTTAAACTTTGATTTTTCAATTCCCCGATTTTCCTTTTTTAAAATTTTTCAGTTTTGCAATATTTGGATTTCTCGAATATCCGATCTACCGATTTCTTTAATTTTCAATGTTTCGATTAAAATATTTCGTTTTTTCGATTTTACATTTTTTCGATTTTTTGGTTTCTCAATCTTTAATCTTTCGATTCTTGATTTCCAATTTTCAGATACGATATTGTCAACTTAATTCAATTTCCTTGAATTTTTTTATCAGTGGAAGGGTTCACAAATAAAATCGCAATAAAATAATTTTTGGAGAGACAAAATATACCTTTACTATATTATTAATAAAATTGAAAATTTTCAGGTATGCTATCATAAAATTTTAAATATGTTGCCAGCCACCCTGACAAAAAAACATTAGTAGTCACTCGATATATATCTTATTCATAAAACTATGTTGTTTGCTATGCCTCTAAAACAAAACACTCTGTATATTCCAAAATACTTTTAATATATGCTACTGAGAGAACCGTGCAATTTTATTTTGTCTTATTTTTTTCAAATAAATCTAAGGGTATTAAATTTGGGCTGCAAGCTGGCCATCGAATAGGCTCTAATCCCGACCTAATTTTCCTGATAAATGTGACTGTATTTTTCAACAGACAGCAAAGAAATATTGTAGTTCTCGAAAATTTATTCTGATAACATTTAATATTACCGGGAGACAAAAAAGAGGGGGTGGGTGGGCGGGGTTAGTAGCTGCTAAGATAAGACTGATTTTGCCAGATGAAATACCCTCCAAGAAAAGACAGGGTGGGTGGACGGGGCTAGTTTCTGCTAAGATAAAACTGATTTTGACAAATGACATACCTTCTAAGAAAAGAGAGGGTGGGTGGGCGGGGATAGTTTTTCAGTTTTGGAATTTTGGATTTCTCGATTATCCGATTTTCTGATTTCTTTAATTTTCAATATTTCGTTTTTTAAGTTTCGCAATCTTTAATATTTCGATTTTTCAAGTTTTTGAGTTCCAATTTCAGATTTTTCAATGTTTTCATTTACACTTTTTGTCTTACAATTTCCCAGTTTTTCAAACTTTTGATTCGTAAGAACTGAAGAAACGAAAACTGACACTAAAAGTTGAGAAACCTTAAATTCGAAAAAAATTAATCGAAAAATTGGAAAAAAGAAAAAAGCGAAAACCAAAAAAACTGAAAAATTAAGACTCGAAAAATTAAAGGTCGAAAAATTGAAAAATCTAATTATAATTGAAAATGTTTTTTTGAAATCGCAAAATTGAAAAAGTAAAAAAATTGTAAAAACAAACATTTAAAATGAAAACTAGGAAAATTGCAAACTATTCGAGAAACGGGAAAATCTAAAATTGAAAAAACGAAAATAAAGAAATTTCAAATAACTTCTACTTAGGTTTTATAACCGTACGTTATTTTTCGATTTCTGATACGATGTTGCCCAATTTCTTTGAAAGGTCCACAAATAAAATCGCAAGAAAATAATTTGTGGAGAAATAAATAGACCCTTATTCTAGTATTACTAAAATTGGGTTTTAATATACAGAGTGTTTCGATATTTCAAGTTTTTTTGAATTATTAAAACACTCTGTATTTTATTACTGCACCTTATTTTGTTCTTTGTGCTCTTCGTTTTTTTTTCTTTGTTAAGTATTTTCTATCTTTAAAGTTGATAGTTATTGCGTTTTCTTACTGCTCAGTCATAAATTACAAGTGTTATTTTATTTAATTGATGCTATAACCAACACAAATCTGTAAAATAATGTTATTACTAAAAAATTTTTTAAATTAACGTGCATCGAAATTTTAAAAATAAACTATGGTACTATGGCCATACAATTTTATTCTGCAACATTTTTTCGGTCTAATTCACACTGTATATTTTTTGAAATTGTTGATACGAGTAGTTTAAAAAATTAATGACTGACCCAGTTAATTGTATTGATTAATTCAAAAATTATTTCTCTAATTTTCCCACAATTCACGGAAAATCACTACTTTTTATTTCAATCGACGGTAAACGTCATGGCTTTTAGCCAAAAATTAATCTAAGGGTGTTAAATCTAGGCTGCGAGCTGGCCATCGAGTAGGCCCTTTAACCCCGACCCAATTTTCATGACAAATGTTTGTGTATTTTTCAACAGACATGAAAAAAATATTGTAGTTCTTCAAAATTTATGCTGAAAACATTTAATCTTATCTGCAGAAAAATAAAAAACATGAACAAAGTCAGCCATGGATTTTTGAAAGTTTGTCGTTGATCTTTACATTTTCAATTCAAAATTTCAAATTGCTGGAAATCAAGACAAATCGTCAGAAATTCATGATCATGACTTTCGTATATTATTTATAGTTACAACAAACAGGTAAGTGTTTAATATTTATATTTATAATCCTGATTTAATGAGGTATTAAGATCTGTTAAAACGTGTACGTTGCAATTAAAAAAACGCGTTTGCAGACGCCATATACAGGGTGTTAAAAAAATGGCGCATCAATGCTGTGACACGTGGTTTAGGACCATTTATGGCGCGAAAAAAAATTTAAAAATCCTTTTGTGCAACTGCAGAATTAATTTTTTTTTCGAAATTTCACCATATTTTAGTTCACTATTTTGTGTTGAATATCTGAAACTTGTCTTTACCTAGCGATTTTTTTATTTTATAACATTACAAAAAACTTGAAAATGTTTAGGATGAATCTGACAACAGTGGTTAAATTTTCACGTTTTTTGATCTACCTATATAAATCGATATTTTGTTTTTATAAGTGAACGCCAAATTGACGTAAAGAATTTTTAATAACTTTTCTCGAATTCAGGCTTGTGAATTGTGGCGTTGAGTTGGTGAATTTCGATATTATCTATTCATTCTCATAATATAAAGCTGCGGTGTTTTATCTAGAACAACTGTAAAAGCTCTTTCAAAAATAAAATATGTATTAAGAATTACAAACAATTTTCTTTTTTTTTCGCATTCAAATAGTCCAGATCCTTAAGTACAAAAACTGGCCTCTGAATCGTAATCAAACAAGCCCAGTTTTTTAGCTATTTTACAGTGTGATTTTTTTTAATTTGTGCTCTAGTTGGCCATGATGCGTACGTCAGCAGCGCAACTGAAACGGCTGACGTAAATGTCATGGCCAACTAAAGCAGAAATTATATATAATAAAATATTCCTAATATACGTACAAAATTAGACAACAATCGGTCCAGTAGGTTCGAAGATCATTTGTCTAATAAAAATGGATACAGACACCAGAGAACAGACAGACAGACAAGCAGACAAACAGATAGACGAAAACGGGAGACCACTTTTTTGTACTATAGAGGTCATGAGAAAATATGAAAGTGGCAATTCGGCTTACCCTCGGGAAGTAAAAAATAGTCAAAATTTTTGAAAATGAAACAAACTGTAAACATCTAGATGGAAAGAACACAAAATATTCAGAACTAAAATTTTAATAATAAATGATCATATTATGTTTAAATTCAAATTCAGATAAAAGATAAAAATCTTGATAAAGATGGTTTTAGGTTTAAAAAACATGATTCTAAGGCACTCTAACTGTACTGAAGCCATATTTAATGAAAACAAATTCTAAAATATTGTTCTGTTGAGGGGTATTATTATAGGTGTTTAAGCTACAGTATTGCAATTTTGTCCATAAATACTTAACTAGTGGAAAGAGCTAGTGATATTTTTTTTAATCCAGAAAAAAAAGCAATGCATTTATTAACTACTTGCTTAAATATGGAAGAATATATGTATTAATTCAAAAAGCAAACTTTATTTGAAATTAGTGGTGAAAAATAAATCTCACTTTAAATGTACAGCATTTTACCCATTTTTATTTATGATTTATGAATTATGTTTCGTCCCCAGTTTTAAATCGATACATACGAAACTTGGATCATCGAATTTTCCGTTTACTTCAGGACTTAAAATCAGAAATCTTTCATCTTTTATATCTCCAGCTTTCGTTCTGCAGCCTGTTTGTTTTGAAATAAACCAACAAAAGGCGCAAAATTATCATTATTTTCTTTTGGCTTTGTAAATAAAATCGTGCTTTAATTTTCAAACGTTTCCCACTAAAAAAATAATGTATTTTTCACCGCATTTCATTCTTAATCGACTTTCCGTCTTTGAATTGCAACAAAAACCCACTTGATTCTTTCATTCTCATTTTTTTAGTTTCATTATAAGCTGTGGTCCTTTTGCTCGACAAAAGAATTAAAATTAATTGTAAATTCCAATTTCGACGTCGTTTTATCTTGTTTTTTGTTAACTGAATGTTTAATAGACTGTTTCTACAATTTGTATAGATTTAGATTTAGAAAAATGCTTAAAGCTGTTGTTACGCTGAAAACAACAGCGTAATTTAATTAATTATGTCTTTATTTTACATTATGTATTAAATGTTTTTAATCATATTGAAAGACGAAGAATTAAACAAAGTACACATAGCAAATAGAAATTTTTTCAGGAATAGAATAATATAGTAGATAGTTTCTTTTGTAACCATCGTCAACAAAAATGTGTTAAATTCTTTGTATATTCTAAAATAGATAGAATTTTCTAATAGTTAGATATTTTGAAATAATAATAATATATATATTGTTTGAGCCAGTGCTAACAAAATTTCAAGAGCTTTAGACTCACGGCAAACTCAAGATTCACAAATTTATAGAAAAATCATCTTTTGTTTCCGTTGAACATAGAATTATCATTTTTTGGCGATTTAAAAACTAATATCAACTATCCTTACTTGATCCAGGTCCTTCAGTCCCACCAATTCGCAGTTCCTGGCGTTTACGTTGTCGTCGTAGTTCGTAATCTCGCAAGGCTCGTTAAAATCATTCGGTCCATACGGCACACCTGGGAAATATTTATACGTGGCATTTGCTACGCTTCCGGCTGTACCAATGCCATTTTCAGCAGACATGTGATTGATAACGGCATCGACGTATATCCTACGATTCGTTCACGTTAGCATTAGTAACATTAATAAATAATAACCCCCTCGAAATACCTGACACCGACGGCATTACATCGTTTGGCCATATTTTTAAAAGAACTTTCGTTACCCGATCTTGTAATCAATAAGTAGCTCACAGGCTGGTATCGTTCCCACCAAGGCCTGCCCTCAATTATTAAATTTTCGTTCGGAGGCGATACCTTGCAACGAAAACAGGGAATGGAGGAAAAAATTTCGTATTTATTACCTGAACTCCCGCGTAACCTTTATGTTGGAGAAAATTTTCGCATTCGCTGGCAATGTCGTCCCATTTCCACTCAAATAAATGCACTATCGTGTTCCTGTCGCCCCGAAAATGAGGATCTTTGTAGGAGTGGGTCAAAAGGGGTAAGCAGAAAATTGTTAGTAGAAGCAGCATGATCTTGACATTCACACTATCGAATGAACTGAACACAAACTGTGTTTTGGTTTTATCTCTTTCTTTGAACTGGTCGACGACAGATAACTTCTGATTGGTTTATTGAGACGAGTACTTGTATTTATTTCCAGAGATGTAACCCCAGGTTATGAACCGTATTCGCCTTTACTTAAAAGGTTTTTTATCGCTGGCATATTTTTAGAATATTCTCACAAAAAAAAAAAAATGAACGACGTAGCGTGGGATGATAAAAGCCGGTTTTTGCAGTGTATTGTTTCATACAATTTCATTATCTGCTAATTCATTGAACATTGCCTGCATTAATTCAGGCTGAAATTCTCAATTTTCGCGTGTTTTGAAAATACAGCGAAAAAGTTCCTCTTTTGTTCTGGCAATATCATGTACCTGAGAGATACACTGAAACATGTAAATTTCAAAATACAAAGGCAAATAAATCGATTTTTGGTAATGATAATGAAATATCTGAGGGAGAAATTATTCTCTTTGTGCGTCACTGTTTTGTTCTCGTACATGAATATATTTTGTAATGAAATATTAATATATACTTTGTGCGCCCTCATAAACACTAAATTAAATTTTATAATAAACGCAGTTTCAGTGTATGAAAGGGTACGGGGAACATTTTTACCAAATTAATTGAGGTAAATTAATTCATAAATAATAATTCAATTCTGATGCTCGTTATATTCCACGTTGTTTGAAATGTCCAACACTCACATTTTTTCTGGCAACAAACAAAAGCGTTAATTATTCTGCGTGATTAAAAATAAAATATTCATAAATAATGTAAAATTGACGTTATTTTTATTTAAATAGATATTTTAAAATAACGAACTTTTTAAACTATAATGAACCCCATAATTATTTTGACATCCTTCTCTACTTGTTTCCTACTCTTAATTTTATACACCCTGCATACAAAGGGGTTATTTAATTATTACACTAAAATTATTTTTAAATATACACAACTCAGTTTTTTCAAATAGAACGCCTATATATTTTTACTTTCCCAAAGTAAGCTAAGGAAGTATTGTAATGTAGTCAATCGGGCGATTGGCTACTTTCATATTTTCTTGACGTTTCATGGCCTCTAGAGTACGAAAATATAGGACTTCGTTTCCGTCTGTCTGCCTCGGTCTGTCCGTCCGATTGTTATAAAATTCTATACTTATACATATCAGGAACATCATGTAGATAATAAAACGCTCATCAAAATTTGCCTGATCATCCCTAATAATAATGACGTAATCTCCAAATTTTACAATATTAAATGATGAATTTCATAAAATAACATGCTTCTCCACTTGCGATTTGTAAATCCGCATCGAGTTTTTACTTTAGGTTTCAAGATATGTATTTCAAAAAAAAAATCAAAAAATTGTATATCCACATTTTACAATTTAACTTTGAAATTACATAACCAAATATAGTTATATATATATATAAATTTTCGATTTTTCAATTTTTGGATTCTCCAGGTTTTTATTTCTTGATTTTTGAATTTTTCGGCTTCATAACTTTTCAATTTCTCGTTTTCGATGTTTTAGTTTTGAGAATTTTTTATCATTTCAATTTTTCAGTTTTTCGATTATTTGAACTATTATTTTTTAGATATTTCATAATTTTGCGATTTTTTAAATTTTAAATTTTTCGACTCTTCAATTTTTTAATTTTTAGATTTTCAGCTTTTTTTTAATGTTTCAGTATTTTAATTTTTAAATTTTTTGAATTTTGGATCATTTGATTTCTCGATTTTTCGATTTCTCAGTTCCTCGATTTTTCAATTTTTCGTTTGTTTCAATATTAGGTTTATCATTTTTTTGATATTTTGATTTCTCGATGTTTCGGGTTCTCAGTTTTACGTTTTTTGATTTTTCAATTTTTCGATTTTTTAATTTTTAACGTATTTAAATTTTAAATTTCTCGACATCTGGATCTTTTGATGTTTCAATTTCGCCTTGTTTCAATTCTTTGATTTTCAACTTTTTTTAAATGCTTCACTATTTTAATTTTTCGATTTTTTAAATTTTGGATAATTTTATTTCTCGATTTTTCGATTTCTCAATTCCTCAATTGTTTAAATTTTAGATTTTTCACTTTTTTGATTTTTCGATTTTTTTTTTTTTGAATTATTTTTCGATTTTTCAAGGTTTTGTGATTTTTTTTTAATTTTAGATTTCTCGAATTTTATATTTTTTGATTTTTTAAATTTGTGTTTTTTAAATTTTTCGGTATTTTAATTTTTTTATTTTTTCAATTTTAGATACTTCTATTTCTAGTTTCTTCGAATTTTCAGTTCTCCGATTTTCAATTTTTCGATTTTTCGAATTTTGAAATTTTAGATTTTTCATTTTTTTTTTGTTCCGATTTCTCGATGTTTCATCTTCTCTTTTCCAGTTCTCGCTTTTTCACTTTTTCGATTTTTAGGATTTTTGACTTTTAGATTTTTATATTTTCGGTTTTCAGTTTATCGATTTTTCAGTTTTTCGATTTTTCAATTCATCAATTTCTTGATTTTTCGACCTCTAGACTTCTCGACTTCTCGATTTCGATTTCTCATTGTTTCAATTTTTTTTCCAGTTTTTCGGTATTTCAGTTCCAAAATCAAATTTTTAGTTTTTCGATTTTTTAAATTTTAGATTTTTATTCGATTTCGAGATTAATAGTTTTTTGATTTTTTAGTTATTTGATTTTATAGTTTTTCGATTTTTAAATTTTCTCCACAGCTTGGTCTTTCAATTTTAAACATTTTTCGAGTTTTCGTTTTTTCGGTTTTTTGATTTTTGAAATTCCTTGATTTTTTAAATTTTTCATTCTTCCATTTTTCGGTTTGACGATTTTTTGACGATTTCCCCATTTTAAATTTTTTAATGTGTGTTTCGATTTTTCGAATTTTCGAATTTTCGATATCTCGACATCTGGATCTTCTGATATTTCGATTTCGCTTTATTTCAATTTTTTGATTTTCCAGTTTTTCGACATTTCACTTCAAAAATCGATTTTTCAGTTTTTCAATTCTTCAGTTTTTCGATTTTTTAAATTTTAGATTATTCGATTTCTCGATTACTAGTTTTTTGATTTTATAATTTTTCGGTTTTTAAAATTCTCCATTTCTCCATTTTTCGATTTACCGATTTTAAATTTTTTAAAGTGTATTTCGACTTTTTAAATTGTCCATTTTTGCGTTTATCGATTTTACGATTTTTGGATGTTTCGATTTCCCGATTTAAAATTTTTTAATGTATACTTCGATTTTCCATTTACGGTTTTATTATTTTTTGGCAATTACCCGATTTTAAATCTGGATCTTTTGATATTTCGATTTAGCATTGTTTCAATTTCTTGATTTTCCAGTTTTTCGGCATTTCAGTTTCAAAATCGATTTTTCGCTTTTTCGATTCTTCAGTTTTTCATTTTTTGAAATACTGATTAGATTATAATATTTTCCGATTTCTAGTTTTTTTGATTTTAGAGGTTTTCGATTTTTTAAAATTCGCATTTTTCCATTTTTCGATTTTGCCTTGTTTGATGTTTCGATTTCCCGATTTTAAATTTTTTAATGTGTATTCCAATTTTTCCAATTTTCAAATTTTCGATTTCTCGACATTTCGGTTTTTCAATTTTTAAATTTTCCATTTTTCCATTTTTCCATATTACGATTTTTTGACGATTTCCCGATTTTAAATTTTTTCATGTATTACGATTATTCAAATTTTCGAATTTTCGATTTCTCGACCCCCTGGTTTTTCAATTTTAATTTTTTTCGACTTTTGGCTTATTCAATTGCTCGATTTTTCATGTTGTCGATTTCAATTTTGGGAAATTTTATGTTTATGAATTTTTCGATTTTTCGATATATCTATTCATTTTTAGATTTTTTAAATTTTGAATTTTTTGATTTTTTGAAGCTTCGATTTTTCGATTTTTCATTTTCGTTTTTTAAATTTTTCGAATTTTCGATTTTTAAATTGTACAAAAAATGGTTCACAAAAAAATTGCAATGAGGTTATTTTAAAAATCTGTGTCAGAATATTTTGTAGAGAGATAAATAAAGTATTTTGTTACTTCGTCTTATTGTGTTTTTTATTCCATTTCTTTTTTGTTATTAGTATTTGCATTATTCAAGGTTTAAAAAAAACTGAAATATCATTATTTATAAATTGTAAACATTTTAGAACTTTTTTATAAACACCCTGTATATTATTGTTCTTTTGTTTATTTCTCCATAAAATATTGCAACACAAATCTTAAAAATACCCTAATTTCAATTTTTGTCAATTCAAGAAAATTGCGACAACGTGGCAACGTCGCATCGGATTTTCAAAAATTAAATATGACCATAAAGTCTATGAAGAGGTTAATGAGAATATATAAAAATATATAGGATGATCTATAAAAAAAAAAAAAAAACTAAATTAAGTGCTATTTTATTTATCCATAATTTGTTAGGATGACACTGAGTTAGGAATTACAACACATTAATTAAAATTTATTTATGCAGCCTCTCTTAGAAGGTGTATGACGTCGTCCTAAAAAAATTATTAAATAAATCTTTCGTGGAGAATACTCAAGCGTTGCGATATTACTTGTGCTTCCACATACTGTAATAATGATAACCTTAACCTCTAGTCTTAAACTATAAAATTCTCAATATACACAAATACCACGATTCATTAAAATTATTTATTTATGTTATATGCTTACATTGCTATAACCATATTTCAATATCTGTGAAGAGCATGTTATTATCCCCACGACTCCGAAAATTTCAATAACCTCCCATACGTTTCAAAATGTACCACAAAATAACAAGTTGGGTTTTGAAATAAGTCGACCAATTATTATTGAAAATTTTGACGTTGCGGGAACAATAAGGTACTAATTTTAATTTGACAGATCATTCAAGATAAAATACCTCATTCTAGAATTCCTGTAAAATGTACGTTAAACTATAGACAAAGGCAATCGTACCGATTTTAAAAATAATTAATTCAAAATTGTAAAAAATTGTAAGATGGATGCAAAAGATAGACAGAAAGACAATGACCTCGCAGATAAATTTTACGTTTTAACTTGCCTAATTATTGTTCATATAAATACATCCTTATTAAAGTGATGTTTTTTGTTGTTATTAAGATTTTTTAAAAAGGAAGCATATAATTTTCTTCACTTCTAGCAATATTTCAATGTTATTAATTAGTAATGCCGATTTTGTAACATGTGAAACTGAACGTAGTTTTAATCTTAAAAATTTTGCAAAAACATTATTGCTAATTATTATGGTGTTTGTCTATAAATTCGACAACACATTAAACAAATTTTGTGCCCCGACACCAAACGCTTAACTAACGCTGATATTCGTTACGAAATCAGGAGTTGAAACAGGAGCAGGAACTAATGTAATCTAGAGACAAATTATCACTGGAGGTGAATTTTGTAAAGACCGATTTACCATATTGAGGAAACAATAATTTTGCTCTACTCCATTTAAGGAACAAAAGTTGTGAAATGAAAATGCTGCCACATTTTATGCGGTCGTAAATTATTCTGCAGATTCCTGCAGTTTATTTCCTGCACATTTATTTCGACCAATCAGTTCCGACAAAACACAACATTCCCCCACATTTCTGCTTTACACAAAAACATTTTTACAGGAGTTCACGTTTGACCTCCGATCTCTGACAATGAGCCAGTAATAAATTTCATAGCGCACGAATTTACACAATTTTCTAAATGCTAGTGCTAGTACTACAAATAAATCACAAAAAGCCATTTCGGTAAAATTTACTTAAGCGAAAATGTAGAAATGGCCGTGATCATGACACACTTCAGGCCATTAAGTCTTATGAATGAACAGCATTTTACAATAACAACAGTTATTTTTTTCACACAAGCGTGACAAGTGGATACATATGAAAGCGTAGGCGCAAATAATGATCACCTTGCGTTAAAGTGCATAATAAACTTCCGCCGCACAGTAATAAACACATTCCAAATTTGAAATTTAACAGCGGCTAATATTGAAAAAAAAAATAAAAAGTGAGTGACAAAGTCAGGCAGCAACAGTGATTAATATAATAAGTTTAAAGTGGGTCCTCTGATTTTCTAGAACAATCTCTCGTGTCATTTTAAGTATTGCTTGTCACCCACTTATAGAACACCAAAATGACTAACCGTTTAGCTGCTGTATACTTAGAACCGAAATGATTTGTCCGATTTTTTATAATAAATCACTGAAGTACCACTGTAAGCAACTTTTAAAATAAAACTTTAGTACTCTATATACTTCAAATGCAATTAACTTGAAAAGTTGCTACTTAAAAATCGTTTAAATAGCGCTTTAAAAATCGAGGACACATTATCATCAAACAATATTAATCTTCTCCTTTTTGACAACCACTTTTGCCCAAAAAAATCCAGATTTTATAGACAGGAGAATGTGAAAGATTTTTAGAACCTAAAGGTGTCCAGGTAATTACACCAAAAATTTTGACAAAAAACCGTCACTAAAAAGGTTCAGGTTTCGCCTCCAACTGAAAACTTAATTATTCCCGGAAGATCTTGGTTTGAAAGATATCAAATTGTGAGTTACATTCTCGAAAGTAGATCAGGAAATGAGGAAGAGTTAGCTGATATGATCAAACGATGCAATGTTGTAGGAGTTCGGTGAATATTCCAGTACTTTTGACTATTTTTAGTACTAAATTGAAAAGTAGCATTTACCCAGATATAGCTCGGAACCACATGACTCTGATGAGTGGTAACGGAACTGCGGCAAATGTAGCAGACTATGAAGATAAGTGGTACCCTGGAGTACCATACGAATCGTCAGATTTTCATACACTTTGTGAGCTAGACAATGTTCAAAAGGCTACGATCGTGGGAAACTGTGAAGTCGCTGGTAGTCTAGATCTCGATCAAGTAAGTACCAACTCCTTCACAGACAGTTCTATTTTTCAAACTTTGGACCGTAGATTACATACGAGAAACTCAAACCAATATACCGACCTGAATACCGACCATGGGTTTCCAGAAGGTTCTAGACCCTTCATCTACCAAGAAGTGTCAGATCTAGGTACTATCTCAACTTAGTGATTTCCTCACTTCTGTCTTAGAATTTCTCTATGGTCTCAACCTAGGCAACGCTTTCCAAGGTGTTACCAAACTCAGCAACCTAGAAAATTGGGGGCCTAACTGGAACCTACTCAATGGTGACGATGAGGTAGCCAAATTTTGACATACAAGAAACCTAAACCTTATAGAATGGCACTCGCTTTTATGTTTAGTCATCCATATGGTCCACCCCGTATGATATCGAGTTTTGCTTTTGATACTTACGAGCAAGGTCTACCTCAGGACGAAAATAGAAATTTAATTTCACCAAAGATTAATGAAGATGGTTGTTGTGGCAATGGTTATGTTTGCGAATATAGATGGCGTCAGGTTTATAATATGATAAAATTCAGAAGCGTAGTAGCTGGAACAGATGTAGAGAATTGGTGGTCAGATGGAAATCAGAAAATAGCGTTTAGTCGACGAAATAAAGGGTTTGTAGCTTTTACAAATGGGGGAGATTCAAGCGAAAATCTGATTAGGGGGGACATATTGTGATGTATTAGTGGAAGTCTTTTTGAACGAGAAGGTACTGGAAAAAGGGTAGAAGTAGATGATAGGGGCTAACGACGAAGATGGGGTTTTAGCGCTTCACCTCGAAGCAAAACTGTAAAAACTACAACAAAATTAGCGGCACGTAATGAGATAATTTGTCGTTGTTCATAAAAACAATAATAAGATAACCCCTTTTAAAAGTCTTATTGAAAAATAAATGTTTTGTTCAAAATTAGATCTCCATGTATTAAGTACTTCACAAGTATTGTTAACAAATTTTAGATAACTATGATAACTTAATCTATGCATTTATATTTTGATGAATCATTAATGTCAAAGAGTCGCAAAAATATCATTAATTTAACAAAACTATATGTATATGGAAACACACGCTCTGCAAATCTAGTGAACTTTACCTAGAGACAAGTTTAATCATAACGGTTATCAAGATTTTGTCGTATTTGCTTTTTCTTCCGAAAATTTGTAATATCGGTAGAAATAAGGTTATGAGGTCGTCCACATGTATGCTGAACCGACAATTACATCCAAAATGCATCAACTGTATTTTATTATTATCATCAAAACACACTGACAACAAGATAAGACATGACAAAACAAAATAGTTAACTGCATTTTTATAATATATATATTGTAGATAACATCAAGTAATCAACACTTGATTTTTCTTTAGTATATAGGTTTCAGTAAAAAAACCGAACCATTTCACAATTTAGCATTAACATGATAAGCCACAACTCCGTCCATTTCTTCTATACCGATATAAATATCCGCATAGCCATCATCTCCCACCGTAATACTTTTTCCAGTACACGCTCCATTTATAAGATCTCCAGAAATGACATCACAGTACGTCCCAGCCGGAAGTCCGGTGTTAAGATGTTGGTTAAGATCTCCGTCAATTGTAAAAGCGACATATCCCCTATTTCCTCTACTAAATGCAATTTGTTGGGCACCATTAGACCACCAGTTCTCGATACCAGTACCCTCAGCGGTGTTCCTAAACCCTACCATGGCGTAAATTTCTCGCCATCTATGTTCGCACGCGTAACCATTTCCGCAAGTATTATCATCATTTATAGTAGGAGAAATCAAATTACCATTACCGTCTTGCGGAGGCCCTTGATCATTGTTATCGAAGTAGTAACTCGACATTACACGTGTCGTACCATATGGGTGCGCCTGAAGAAAAGCTATCGCCATTTTGTAGGGTTTAGGATTTTTATAGGTGAGAATCTGGCTTCCTCCAGTTCTTTGATTATCGTGGTTGTCGATGAAGACTACAGCGTCGGAACTCTCCAGAAGCCCCCAGTCGGTACCCCAATTTTGCAAACTTGCTAATTGATTACCCCCTTGGAACGCATTGCCCAAATTGACACCAGCCAAAAATTCCAGCACATTACCAATGCCAATGTATTCGTACTTTTTGACAGCATCGTCATTAAAATCGATCACTTCTTGGTAAACGAAAGGTCTAGCGCCGTCAGGAAAACCATGATCAGTGTTTAAGTTTTTGACACTTGAGAAAATGACACCCAAGTCGTCGGGGTACATGAGTTTGGCAGCATCGACTCTGTAACCAGCCACACCCAAGTCCACCAAGTGGTTCAAGTAGTCTATAAGTTTGCTTCTAACAGAATCTTGATCCTTAAATTTTTAAACTATTGGTAACAGGAATCGTAGATGATTGATCTACCTGAGCTAAATCAACGAGGTGATTGAGTTCGCAGTCTCTGACCATAGCAGCATCTTGCCAGTTGTCGATGTTACATTCACCATGAAAGTTGTCAGTGGTGTATGGTACCGCTGGGTAGTTCCTACCGTCACGATCAGCGCTACTACCAGCGGTTCCAACTCCGTTTCTTTCGGTCATGTGGTTCAGGACGACATCAACGTAAATTCTAAAAATTTGGACTCAAAAAACATTTGGACTTTTTTAAAATTTTACCTAACACCAACAGCGTTACATCTTCTCGTCATATCAAGAAAGGCGGCTTCGTCTCCCGATCTGGTGTTGACTATGTAACTTACTGGTTGGTATCTTTCCCACCATGGACGGTCGGGAATAACCAGATTTTCACTTGCCGGAGAAACCTAAGAAACTCTCTTAAACCAAAAGTATCTTAATTTAAAGTCGTACCTGAACACCACCGTATCCTTGATATTGCAAGAATCGTTCACATTCGTCGGCAATATCGTTCCATTTCCACTCAAACAAGTGGACGATTGTAGATCTACCACTTGCAAAATTGGGATCTTTCTGGGCAAAAGCCAAAGAAAGATGGAGAAGTAGAAGTACCAACTTCATGTTCACAGGGTTTGTGTAAGTTTTGAAAGTTGGAATGATTTGCGTGAACTGAGCGTATTTATAATACTCGGAACATAAGAGGTGCTTCAGTGATTCTATCGCCCGATTACACAATCTAGTTGAAAAAATAATACCTACGTGGTGTATAGTTGGGTAAATAAATACATGGTTTCTGTAGCAACAAACTTATCGTTAAAGTAAAAGCAAAACACTTGTTCCATTTTTTACGTTTTTCCGTTTATTAGTATCTTACTTATTGTTCTACGTGGTAAAAATAAACAAGCATAAAATTTTTCACCAAATTTATTTTTGTATTTTTAATCTATATCTTGAGAACAATCTTTGGTAATTTTTCTTTATTCTTAAAAACTACAATTTACTCATCAACTTAGCGTTAACATGAATGGCCAAAACTCCATCATCTTCACTAGCTCCAAGAGATATATCAGCATATCCATCACTGCCTACAGTGACAGTTTTACCAGTGCACGCCCCACCATCAAGTACACCAGAAATAACATCACAGTAGGTTCCCCCAGGAAGACCCGTATTGAGGTGCTGGTTAATATCGCCTCCAAGTGTGAAGGCCACAAAACCTTTATCTCCTCTGCTGAACGCTATCTGCTGGTTACCATCAGACCACCAGTTCGCAATATCGGTACCAGCAACAGCATTCCTAAACCCAACCATATCGAAAATCTGGCGCCATCGATGTTCGCAAACGTAACCATTTCCACAAGTACCGTCATCGTTGATACTGGGAGAAACCAAATTTCCGTTACCGTCTTGCGGAGGTCCTTGATCATTGTTATCAAAAGCAAAACTGGACATGATTCTCGTGGTACCATAAGGGTGAGCCAACATAAACGCGATCGCCATTTTGTAGGGTCTGGGGTTTTTGTAGGTAAGAATTTGGCTTCCTCCGGTTCTCTGATTGTCGTGGTTGTCAACAAACACTACTGCGTCTAGACCGTCGAGAAGGTTCCAATCGGGGCCCCAGTTTGCCAAGTTTGCCAGTTGGTTGCCGCCTTGGAAAGCATTGCCCAAACTGACGCCAAATTGGAATTCCAGCACGCAACCAATGTCAGTGTATTCGTGTTTGCTTATAGCTTCACCACCTGTGTATAAAATAAGACAATATGAGAAAACTGAAATTATCTAAGAGAGAGATTTGTACCAAGATCTATAACTTCTTGGTAGATGAAAGGGCGGGCACCATCTGGAAAACCGTGACCCGTATTCAAATTCTGAAGACTAGAAAAGATTGTTCCTAAATCACCAGGCCACATGTGTTTTGCAGCGTCTACTCGAAAACCAGCGACCCCCAAGTCGATCATATGGTTCATGTATCCAATGAGTTCTCCTCTGACGTAATCAGTACCCTTCAATTCAAATCGTAGTATTTATGACATGGTGGTGTCCATGATACTTACCTGATTTAAGTCAGCCAGACCCACAAGTGCACAGTTTCTGACATTGTTAGCATCTTGGTAGTTGTTCACTTCGCAGTCACTGTTGAAATCTCCACTTCCGTAAGGTACTCCTGGGTAATTTTTGCCAGTACGGTCCGCCGAGTTACCAGCAGTTCCAGTCCCGCTCATGCCTGTCATGTGATTGATGACGGCATCCACGTAAATGCTAAAATTTTTTCATTAACCAAAAAAAAAAGATGTTGGTGAAAATTACCGAACACCAACAGCATTACATCTCTGCGTCATATCAGCAAAGGCACTCTCGTCACCCGATCTGGTATTAATGACGTAACTTACGGGTTGATATCGTTCCCACCAAGGTCTGCCGCTGTCGGCGACCACAAGATTTTCATTGGGTGGCGAAATCTTGACACCAAAATATTAGTTTCAAAATTACAAAAAAAAAAAATGCTTACTTGGACTCCACCAAAGCCTTTTGGTGCTAAAAACCTTTCGCATTCGTCGGCAATGTCGTTCCATTTCCATTCGAACAAGTGGACTATCGAATTCCTGCCATCGGCGAAGTGGGGGTCCTTTTGGGCAAAAACGCCACAAAAGCATAAAGTGAGGAGAATTATACACGAACGCATGGTGATGACAAATACTGCCGACTACAGTTCCGCCAGACCGAAATTTATTTTATATCCAGCATTCATACACACTTATCGGAATACAATAGTACTACATTATCAAATTATAGTACAACCTATTGTGTAACGGCGATATGAAAATGGCGCTGATTTAAGATTACGACTTATCATGTTTTAAATTTGCATTTTCTGGTTTTAACATGATTTTTTTGTAACTGTTCCTTGAAGTAAGCAATTCAATCAATTCAAAATTTTTTCCCAATAATAGGAACTATTTAATCACCAAAAATTTTGATAATTCGATGCCGATTTCTTAATTCTACATGTCCGTTTTTTGGAAAAATACATAGTGCTGTGACTCATTTTCTTTATGTACTTTTCCTTTTGTTATCAGCGGTACTGATGTACCAAAGATAATTCTTCCACCTAATAAAAAAAAATTGATTACAGATCGTGCTCTATGTCCATCTCAGGTGATTCTTTAATCATAACTGCAAATCTAAACCCTAAAATAACGCACAGTCTAGACTTATTTGCGACTTCATACATACAGTAATTGGGTACTTTAACAGACGCTTACCTTGTTAAAATCATTAATTTTATAACAGTCTATGCTTAAAAATTACCTTGATGTTTGATGAGCATGAACACCTTTACTTAATACAGTCGTGCGTGATTTTTTAAGGTACTAGCTATCACATACATGCAAAGACAAAATTACTTTCTTATTCTCTATCGGGTGGTACTCTTCTACCAGTACCGTCCGTGTTCAAGGTCTATTAAATATAATTAATACAATTTCTTTTAATTTAGTCTCGGTTATCTTACGTAAGCTAATTGTACTTTAGAATAAGTACTACCTAAATTGGTAATAACAATTAGGAATATACGTCCAATTAAAAAATAAATTGATTATTGCAAAATTTACGAGTTGCTGAAATTAAGTGATAATATAAATTTGTATTAATCGATTTTAAAAGCTGAAATAAGAACCAATTTGTTATTTCCGCGAGGCTACAGCTGAAATATGGATTTTTACATTTTAATAAAGTGTTCTCGCCATCATTATTTTAATGTACGAAGTGGAAATGAAATTAGATTAAATCTCCCTTGTGCAAAATCTGTAGACTACCCCAGTTAAGTTTTAACTGTACTCGAAAGCGCAATTCTGACATTTTAAAAACTAATTTCTTTTCATAATCAGACTAACAATAAAAGACTCAATTCTAGCCTACAATCGATAGACGCATTTCGTGATTCGCAACTTTTTAAATCACGTTTTCACCATAACAGATTTCTAAAAGCTGTCAGTTTAGTGAAGAATAAACATGCAAAGAGAACGTTCATGAATTTTGTGCAGTTCATTGATTTTGTAGCTAATAATAATAAAATATGCCATTTTAATTAATAGTTGCAATAACTTTCAGACAAATTGTGTTTAACATAACATAACTTAAATAAACATGAAAATTGTTGTATGTCAGTTACAATTGAAGCACAAAAAATAAACACAAACACATTACCTACTTACGACTGACATGCTATTATTAACGTCGAAAATATCAAAGGTTACTTTTTCCATAGACCAGGCAAAACGAGACAGCTTGGCTGTGCTTGGTATCATTTTTATAAAAATTCCATCGATGTAAACAGCAATTTTCATAAAACAAGTCATATAAAACGGAGCAACAATCAATTTTTTGCTCACATATACGTCTATTCAAGCTTAAATTAGTCTATATTGCTCTAATAGCGGTTGAATTAACTAAAAATTACTATATTTGAACGCTTCCGAGTCCTTGAATTATTTTTGTGGTCGATTTTGAAAATTGTTCTTTACTTCCCCAACAATAGCTAAGATTACTATTATTGGACCACACAAAATTATTTATTCCTCTTTTTTAGAAAGGAAACTTGTTTCCTAGCAGCAAAAAACCTCTTCAAATTTCAAAAAAGTGTTAAAATTGATACAAATATTTGAAAATTTATTAAAATACCTACCTGGATGCTAATATATAACTGGTGGCGAATTTAAATTTGAACAGTCTTTTTGTCCTAACCACAGCTATAACATATTCCATCCTCGCAAAAGAGGCAGTCAGCTAGACGGCGTGATTCACTACCGTCGAAAATTGGAAATTGCAGATAAACATTCATGTGAACAAGAGCAAGAAGAGAAAAGCTCTTAATTTGAACGTGTAGTCCGTCACTCAGCCTCCTTTAAGCAAAACACAACCGGCACATATTAAATATGGTTGAAATCTAATAAATAATAATTCGACAATAAATGTTCAAACCCAAGCTCTAAGAAATTATTAAACCTGTAAGAAAATATTGAAGCTCTTCCGTTTTCGAATGCACGGTGATATTAATTTAACTGATGATAATTTTCAAAGTCTCTCATTTCAACTCTCTTGAATGAATTATTACAAATCTCAAATAAGAAGTTATGAAATGTGGATAACATAATATCTTAAGTAAAAATATCCAAAACTTTAGATATATTGTTACTAAACTAACCTGAGCCTGAATAAATGAATTTCTTGCCACGTGTTTATGGGAACATTTCCATTATTGTAACTATATGAACTATCAATTTACAAATAATAAAACAAAAATAACACGTGTTGACGAATACGCCAGAGTTTCACAGTACATAATCGTAATAAACCTACAAAAAGGGAAGACCAAAAAGTACCAAAAAAATTGCAAAAAAACCGCCCAAAAAAGGGACAAAATAGGGTACCGAATAAGTGCAAGCTACAAAAAAATGACAAAAAACTGAAAAAAAGAGCAAAACCGCGAGAAAAAAAAGTCAAAAAACATAAAAGAGCCTAAAAATGCTAAAATAGAAAATAAAAAGCAAAAAAAAAGAAGAAAAAAGTCGACAAAAAGGACCTCAAAAATATAGACGACGCAAAAAAGGCAGCTAAAAAAACTACAAAAACTACAACTTGAAAAAGAAAAAGAACTCATCAAATAAGCTACAAGAAATGGCGCCACAAAAAAAAGAATCAAACACGTTAAAAAATCGAAAGAAACCTACAAAAACCGTCAAAATAAAGACACAAAATATCAGAAAACACACATACCCAACAATAAGGCATCGAACAAGCTCATGCTACAAAAAAATACCAAAAAAAGTGCAAAACAGCGAGATAAAAGTTTAAAAAAATTAAAAGAGCCTTAAAAATGCTAAAAAAGAAAACAAAAAGCAAAAAATCTAGAAAAAGTCCTCAAAAATAAACCCGAGTGTCCCAAAACATAAAAAACGCACAAATTGGTGATAAAACTACCAAATAGAGAGACAAAATAAGGCATCGAACAAGCGCAGGCTACAAAAAAAGATATTAAAAACAGTTAAAAAGGGCAAAACGGTAAGAAAAAAGTTTCAAAAATTTAAAAGAGCCTTAAAAATGCTAAAAAAGAAAATAAAAAGCAAAAGAGGAGAAAAAAAATCGACAAAAAGGACCCTAAAAGCAAAGGTGAGACAAAACAGACAGCTAAAAAAAACTACAGAAACCACAACACACAAAAGAAAAAAATCGTCCAAAAAAAGGACAAAAAAAATGACGGCACAAAAAAAAAGAAAAAAAAAACGTACAAAAACCGAAAGAAACCTACAAAAATCGCCAAAAAAAGACGAAAAGGAAACGCCAAAAAGTGCAAAAAATCGGCCAAAAAGGGGACAAAATAAGGCATCGAACAAGCGCAAGCTGCAAAAAAAGATATCAAAAAATGTTAAACAGGACAAAACAGCGAGAAAAAAAGGTTAAAAAATAAAAGAGCTTTTAAAATGCTAAAAAAGAAAAAAAAAGCTATAGTAATCACAACACAAAAAAGAAAAACTCATCAAAAAAGCTACAAAAAAATGACGGCACAAAAAAAAAGGAAAAAAAAACGTACAAAAACCGAAAGAAACCTACAAAAATCGCCAAAAAAAGACGAAAACGAAACGCCAAAAAGTGCAAAAAAATCGGCCAAAAAGGGGACAAAATAAGGCATCGAACAAGCGCAAGCTGCAAAAAAAGATATCAAAAAATGTTAAAAAGGACAAAACAGCGAGAAAAAAAGGTTAAAATATAAAAGAGCTTTTAAAATGCTAAAAAAGAAAAAAAAAGCTATAGTAATCACAACACAAAAAAGAAAAACTCATCAAAAAAGCTACAAAAAAATGACGGCACAAAAAAAGGAAAAAAAAGGGTAAAAAAATCGAAAGAAACCTTCAAAAAATGTCAAAAAAAGACAAAAAAGGAAAGCCTAAAAGTGCCCGAAAACACAAAAATCGCAAAAATTGGTGTTAAAAAGTACCAAAAAAATTGCAAAAAATCGATCAAAAAAGGAACAAAATAAGGCATCAAACAAGCGTAAGCAATCTACAAAAAAGATATTAAAAAAAGTTAAAACGGGCAAAACAACGAGAGAAAATGTTAAAAATTTAAAAGAACCTTAAAAATGGTAAAAAAGAAAACAAAAAGCACAAAAGGAGAGAAAAAAACGACATAAAGGACCTCAAAAATAAAGACGACACAAAAAAGGCAACTTAAAATAGTTGCGAAAACTACAATACAAAAAAGAAAAACAACTCATCAAAAAAGCTACAAAAAATGACGACATAAAAAAAGGAAAAAAATGTGTAAAAAATCGAAAGAAACCTACAAAAAACGTCACAAAAAACGACAAAAAAAGGGAAAGCCAAAAAGGGCCCAAAAAAACAAAAACCGCAAAAATTGGTGTTACAAAGTACCAAAAAAATTGCAAAAAATCGATCAAAAAGGTACAAAATAAGGCATCGAACAAGCGTAAGCTACAAAAGAAACGCCAAAAAAGTGAAAAAAGAGCTACACAGTAAGAAAAAAGTTAATATAATTAAAAGAGCCTTAAAAATACTAAAAAAAGAAAACAAAAAATAAAAGAGAGAAAAAAATCGACAAAAAGGACCTCAAAAATAAAACCCAGACAAAAAGGCAGCTAAAAAAGCTGCAAAAGCTACAACACAAAAAAGAAAAAGACTCATCAAAAAAACTACAAAAAAA